TTCCTGCAACATCAGTTCTGCTGCAGCCGCTCAGGACAGCTTCAGATAACGAATCCCTCAGCCCCTGACTGCCCATCCTCCCATCTGATAATGAAGTGTCTGCATCTTTTTTCAGCAACGTTACCAGTAAACACATTTGACTATCCTTCCTCATCAAGCAGTTAAACGACTGCTACCGCTGCACATAAATAATTTGGTTTGGATGTCACCATTGATTCCCGTGAAGTGTAAACTCTTTAGGATGTAGTGATGCAGCTTAAACCATCCCCATGCTGTGTTCGCTCTTCCTACCAGCTTTTAAATGATGTTTTCAGTTGCTTAGCAATGGATGTGCTGCAGTTAGTGACTGGCTCACACCTGTCAGGCGTTTTTCAAAAATCACTGAAAATTGCAGTTATTTCCCGCCCCCCGCCCCCCATAAGAAGTGCTGTATAATGTGTTTCCCAGGGCTCCATAATACTCAATGGTTAAAGGCCTAATAGCAATCATATGCAGTCATCTTTCCTCATGATCTTAATTGTGCCACTAAATTAACAAACCCATAACTTCCTATTGATTAGGTTTTACTGTCTATTCTTTTCTATGTATTTCATTTAATCTTATCCGGTTTTATTTTCCATATCGTGGTCTCTAAGTGTTTTTAAATTAATTTTATGCCTTATGATTTTCTTCTCTTGTAGCTGTATCCGCGTACGTCGAGGCCTATGATGTAATCGTCAACGGTCCCCTGGCCGAGTACCTCTCCCTTAGCAAGAAGATCGGGGGTGATGTCCAGAAACATGTAAGTTACAGTTTAGATGAAAACTCAACTAAACTGGGGGTCATTTAATATAATTCGTCCCTGCAATATTGTTTTAATTTGTTTTTTTCATATAGATTTAAACTACTATTTCATATACATTTAAAATAAACCTGTAATATAATATAATTTAAAAAATGATTGAAACAGTTTTTTTCTTGTCAAGTATGATGTTAGTAATTGAAATATTTTCAGTGTATTGCACTTTTGGTGCACATGTTGATGTGGCCCTCCTACGAGATAACCGTACCAGCAGTGGCCCCAAGCCAATTTGAGTTTGAGACCCCTGATTTAGATGCTAAATAATATTAAAAGCCCTGTTATTTCTGCACATAAAGGTTATCTCACTCTGATACACCAACAAGAGGGTCAGTCAGTCGCTTTTATTTGCTACAAATTAAACAGATATTAGAGTCCTCCTGCTGTTTTTTTTATACCTTTTGAGAGTTATAATAATGACAACTTGACCAGAGTTGAGGAGGACAGACTTATGTAAAAAGACCAGGATGATTTTTGTTCTCGGCATGTTTCTGTTACTAAATTCCCTCTCTTCCCTTCCAGGCAGAAATGATGAAGCAAGCATTCGCCAGTCAGAGAAAACTCCTCATACAAGCCTCCTCCTCCCAGAAGCCCTCTGATGTGAGTTAAACACACTTCGTAATTGCTCAGTCAGTTAAAGTCTCAGTTAACTGAACAACATTGATCAGTTTGCATAATTCATTACGCTCGCCTCTTGTCTTACGTCCCTCCAGCACCTTCACTCTCTTGTACAGGTTCTCTGTCCTGCTGTCATTTCTCCTTGTTTTCTGCCAACATTTTATTTAAAGATCTGCTGACTGCTGAATATCCCAGCTGGATTTATACTTGACGCAAAGGAGCCTTTGCATAGATATCTGCGGAGTAGGTTTTGATTTATAGCTCACAGTTTGAGTTACCACTGATAGCGAGCTACTGTATTTATTGTACATGATCAGGTGGTGTCATGCTTTAATTATATTCTCCACAGTGATGCAGTGTTCATTTATTTCTTATATTTTAATATAGGCTTATATAGAGATATTTTACTCAGTGTGACAGCAACATTTCTTATACCTAAAGGTCTGTCTCGTGTTGCACTACGAGATGTAACTGTCAAATGTGGCTCTGTTTCATGTTGAATTTGCAAGTGGGTGGTAGATTTGCTTAATTCACCAACCAAAAAAAACCAATGGTAATCGTATAGAGTATTTGAATATTCACCATCCATTTGGCCGCTTGACAAAAAGTTAACTTTGCACCCTGGTTGAATTACTGTTGTTGACACAAATCTGTTCTGGTAAATGATGTTTAATCAACACTATTTTAATTTCCTTTCAGTGTAATGCAGCTTTAGTCAGACCCGTCAGGCTGAATATGCAAGAAATTGAGATTTTAAACTTTTTAATTTGTAATAAAATAATAATTAAAATGTCTCCTGAATCTTAAAAATCTAAAACTTGAACTGCTTAACCCCACCATATGAGTAAAAGTTTGTTTTTGTTTTAAACTGTGAAACTTTGTGCCGTCTCTTTCCTGTTCAGGCAGTTTTGACGACTCTCCTGCAGCCGGTGTCCAAAGCCATCCAGCAGGTGCAGGCGTTCCGCGAGCAGAACCGCACCTCGCCGCTCTTCAACCACCTCTCTGCCGTGAGCGAGAGCGTGCCTGCCCTCGGATGGGTCGCCATGGTGAGAGTGGAAGGGAAGCTTTTATGAGACCGTTTGTGTGTTAACAGAGAGTGACTCTGTGTGTGTGTGTGTTTGTGTGTGTGTGTGGGCAGATAAATGAGTGTATAATGGCCGGAAACAAGCCTCTCTTTGATTCTGTCATCGCTGTCTGCGAAACAACAGTTTCTTGGCTGACACATGGCCGCCACAACAGAGCTTCACTGTTACAGTTTAGATGATTAACTCTTTGTTTGTTGTTGTTTTGATTCTTATGAATAATACATCAGGTTTTTTTAAATGCACATAATAGATGCATTCATTATTTGTACGCCTACTCTAATATCATAAAGATCTCATTATAAGCATGGCCTGTGAACTTTATTACTTTTACTGCATTTGCTATTGTAGTCGGCCGTTTTTAAAGGGATAGTTCTACATTTCTTACTGAGAGTTAGATGATAAGATCAATATAACTCTCATGTTTGTAAGCTAAATGTCAAGCTAGAAACTGTAGCTGGTAAGCTTAGCTTTAGAGCCCGACCAATGGGGGATTTCCAAGACCGATGCTGATTTTAGAGGGAAAGATTAACATATTATCGATGTAGCAGCTGAATATTTACTATATGAACCTTTTCTATATGGATTGTGCACTTATTTTGCAAAGGCACTCAGAAGGCTGCTTTCTTAAACAAATAAATTCAATATTTAACATTATTTGACATGATAAAATGTGTTTAACTGTTTAGCCAATTGTAGTTGACATAGCTGAGAGCTGCTTCTCTCTACTTCTGTGCTGCTGCACATTATTGTTAAAATCACAGGCGCACTCTGCTGGCATTAACTAATGTTTTCAATGACACCAATATATTACCACAAGAATTACATGTTTTTTGCATTATAAAAAACTGTTTTGTATCAGTACATATTTGATAACGTATAGGACAGAACTAATAAATGTAGGTCAATATCGGCTGACCAATATGTCGGTCAGGCTCTACTTAGCTTAGCATAAAGCTAGAAACGGGGTGGAAACCAGAACCTCTAAAGTTTACTAATTAATTATTAATTATGATTTTTATGTTTAATTAAGACAAAACCTGAAGTGTAAAGAAGAACTACTTTAACAGCACCAGGCTAGCTGCTTCCAGTCTTTATGCTCTAGCTCCATACTCATCTAACACTCTGCAGAATGCGTTTGTGTTTACCTCCTTTTCTTTCTGTCTCAGGCTCCTAAGCCGTGCCCCTTTGTTAAGGAGATGCAGGACGCCGCCATGTTCTACACCAACCGTGTGCTCAAAGACTTCAAGGATAGTAAGTAAAGCTTTTATGTATTGTGTTTCCTGCTTTTGTCTGGCAGCAGTGAAAGCTGTACACGCCGCCTAATTTTAAGTCTAGTGGGGAAATTTTTATTTTTTTTTAACCCTGCCGTCCATTTAGTTTTAAAAAATGTTTGTAACGTTGGGATCAACTGAGAGTCAGACGAAACTTTCATAATGCCATCCAAGCCGTTTGCTCAACCCATTCTGTCTTCATCTTTCCTTCCCTCTTAGGTTCTTTTTTTTTTTTTTTTTTTTAAAGTTCAGTTTTACTGAGTCAGCGCTGCCCCACACGACACACTGACGACATGCTGATGCTTCCTGATTTAGACCTGAAAATCATCAGTTTATGAGGCCGAACGTAGCATGAGTTACAGTCCCCCAAGGTAGATTCAGCCCTGCGGTATGCTGATCAAGTTGCACAGAACTTAAGCTTTATTCAAATTTGTCAGTGAGCTCTCTTTAGAGTTGATGCAAAACAGTAATGGCTGTATACCAAATAACACGGCCTCAAAAACAGTACGAGATTGGGCAAGAAAAATGTTACATTGTTCTATTTTTAAGGAGGTAAATTTCTGGTTCTGTTTC